AATCATGAACATGGGAAGTCTGGAGAAAGAAATAATAAACCCAAAGGAACCGACGTACTTGTCGTTCTCCATTCCAGAGGGCATAACAAGTCATTATACTCGGGACCAACACCTCTCTGCCAAGATCCCTTGAAGATAAGAATATCATCCTTGTACCCCTTATCCGAGTCGGGAAGATGAGTTACAAGGTACATGGAGGGGTCCCTGACTTTGAGGTAGAAGTGTTGGTGAGACATGACTCTCAGGAGGGAATAACAAAAAAGGAGATCGTTGAGCCCAATATTTATCCCGAGGCGCCTATTGAGCTCTAAGACCCCCATAATTATTCGAAAAACATTAAGGCAACATTGCCCGGGGAAGAGGCGGAAGTGAGAAAGGAACTGAAGAAGTAAGGGGGGTAAAGGAAACCTAATTCCTCCCTCTATTATGGCCTTGGTATAAAAGGGCATGGCATCCTCGGCCCCGAGGGTAGAAGAGTGCACCACCGGGTCATAATCCTCTACGTCTACGCACGGGGGAATGCCGTACTTGACCTTAAACCTATCAATCTGCTCACCACCCTTTACTTTATATTTCCCCGACCCCGAAGAACCAGCCTGAGGATTCTCGGGAGCAGGGCGACGACGAGGCATCTCTAAAAAAGTGAGAAAGAAGAGGGTGTTTGTTCTTGAAAATCCCCGAGGACGTTTCCCGAGGGTTAATCGCTATGTATCAACCGGAGACACCTCCAGTCATCGGAAAACAAAAGGATAGGAGGAAGAAAAGAAGGAGGATACTGAAACTCACCCGAATGTCAAAACGGAGTTTTTTCTGGAAAACCTTAAAGCGACTCCTTCCAGAAAGTTCAGAAGCAACGATGGGTCTGCTGGCTTTAAGACTTTAAGGAAGAATGGGCAGTCGACGATGGAAGAAGAAACAAATCTCCGGCGAAGATTCAAGAAGAGGCTCTCTTGAGGAAGTTTGGAATGGCAAAACAAGGAAAACGGAAGAGGAGCCCCATTTATATAGAGACAATTTTCATCATTGGGCGCGAAAAACGAAACGGCGCATTTAATGCGCACGACATCCCAAGCCGGGAAAGCGGCTCGAGGCAATGATGAAGCATTGGTGGTTGTTGGGAAACCCTTCGTCTCCTTACGACGCGTGTCCTCGGTGTCAGAAGATCGAAGGCTGGGGGGCAGTTGATGGGACTTTTCTGAAATGCTCCATGATGAAGACACGTGTCCTCGGTATTACCAAAACACTGTTGCTAAGATCAAGCACCATCGGCGCACAAGGTCCTCGCCCCCGAGGTACCCATCATATAGGATCATGCATTCAGTATGTTTTACAACCGACACGTGGCCTCGGTCTGATATGGTACCTCGGTCGGTATACCTCCCTCGGTTCCGAGATGAGCCTTTCCTCGGTGCCGAGAGGTACCCCATCCTGGACGCTTCCTCTACTCCAGGATAAGCTATTGACGTACAAGTCATTAGCCTAGGCTAGTCTAGGCTATTCATCATGACCTCGTCTTACACAATTAGTGTCAGAACGTACTGGAATGCAGGGGTCACAGCCAATAAGGGATGGACGCGTGGCATATGATATCACATCGAAGACAGAGAAACCGCATGCCGTTGCTGACACGCGACTTGGGAAAGCAAACTATTAATTACACCATTCCCTTGATGAGACCGCATTCAATGCGGTAAGGCTCGGAAATGAAAGGCAATAAATGCTCCTAATACAGAGCATTTATTGCATCCTCCCTGAGAGGAGTACATTGTACCGTCGGCATCCCGATGACCCAGCATTGATTGCTCGGGACCCCGAGCAGTTAAGAAGAGAAGACATTCCTCATCAGAATCAGTGCGTACACTGCCTGTACTTAATGATCATCTATTGACTACACTGACAGCAATCATGAGCTTTTGAGGTATAAATACTCCTTGCAAAAGGCAAGACGGGTATGCAACAAAAAACTCTTTACTACAATACACACTCAGTGTTTTCTCCTTCCTCTCTCTCTCTCTCTCAAAGACTGACTAGATCGTCGGAGGGGATACGCCGGAAAATACTCCGGCGCCCTTCTAACTTGTTCTTCTTTGTTCCAGGAACCTCTTTCAGCCTTACTGGATCGTTCTTCCGTTTCCAGGGTCTCCCATTACCGTTCCAGGTTACCACCGGACCTCACAGGCTGTTCCAAGCAGCGTGTTTGGTCACTCAACCGGCTCACTCGAGTTCACCAAGGGAGAGATCTGTTCTCGTTTTTTATATTGTGCAGGATCTTGCACGCACAGATTTATTAAAGACACCCGCTCTCTTCTGAGTGTTAGGTTGACGATCTTAACGTTTGCGGGTTTATTATTGAATTTCATGTTCACAATATAAATGCTACTCGCCTGTGTCTTCTCTTCTCAATTCCAAGAAAAATTGATGAATTTTCTTTTGTTTGTTTGACAGCTAGCTATAATTGCTAGATTTGTTCTACATGTTGTGGGTGATGGTTTTTGAAATCTGTTTACCCAATGGGGTGAAGCTCAGAAGGGACTTTGTGTGTGTTTGTGGATGGTGGTGTGTTCAGTGTGTGAAAGATGATGAAGAGTCTTTCACTTCAGCTGAAAGACTAAGGCTACATCCTATCTAATGAAGACTCTTGCTCCTGTATTGCTTAAAAAAGAAGGTACTTATTACATAAGGATTGGATGAGAGCCTTTTACAAAGTATTTCTTAGGTTGCCTATGGTGTTCTCTCCCTCTACTGTAACTTCATCTCCTATTTATACCCTTGGTATTAGGTTTCTATAATTCTTTCATTTCTGACTGATTTTGTGGTCCCTTCGTCATTTGTCCTGTAGCGGTCTTGCCAACCTCACGTTTTCTATGCCCGCTAACTTTGAAATAGAATGCATGGAAATATTTGTTTGTTAGAATTGTCAAACATTGTCCCCCAGTCCCTTGTCCACGCGGCACAATCAGGGTTATATCAAATCCGCTTAGTACCGAGCTCAAACTCCCATGCAAATGGTTATCACTAAACTCGTTGGGGGCCGACCTGGGCACTGGTGCTTTCCATGGAGCGAGGCTATGGTCCATATGGAAAATGTCATCCAGAAGGACTGCTTGGTTTATCTTTGATGAGCCTATCAGAGACATTGGGCGCAAGAGAGGGCTTAGACTTAAATCCATCATCATCGGTGGATATTGTAAATTTTGAGTCAACTACATCACCTTTTTCATAGATGACTAAATCAGATGGGTTTTGTTAATTTTAACTTCTTTTTTTAAAAGATATAAATTTCTATGACCAATGATGCCAGAATTTTGAAGTTTGTAAAGCCCACAACTTCGTCTTTGTCTTTGTCTTTGTCTTTGTCTTCTTTCATTTTTTGGTGGGTGTTGCCAAGATGTCGTCTACAATACAAATGCAATCACCCAACTGCGTTTTGTCTGGAACAAGCCAGAGAGAGTTGAACTTGAGATGTTTTTCAACGAAGCATCACCTCAGCCGACTCAACGACCCTTGTGGCCTTGTGGACTGGAATTGGATACACAACCTTATTGATCTCATCGAGCCTTTTTGTTGTAAACATATGCCATGATTTCCCTTGGTCTAATCCTTTTTGAAATTAATCTGCTCTACCTATTACTTAAGTAAGTGCAGGCCCATGGATTTTGTTTCATTCTATTCAATTTTAGTTTGTGAAATCCTGTACTTTGGCGTAAGATGGCTGAAATCCTTGACTTATTATCATGTATTACAGAAAGTGTTGCAAACTGCTATTGCTGTAGAAATTGTTTTGGGTGTGCTTGCTCTATTTTGGTAGCACACATTTCTCAATAGTTTCTGATCACAGTTTTGGCCATTTGTCAGAAAATTTGTTGCATTGTTTCCAATTTGATCGTGGTGTCATGAACATTTCAGGAACTCAAAACCATAAGACCTCAACTCTATTCTGCTGCTGAATATTGTGAAAAGTCTTATCTTCACAGTGAACAGAAACAAATGTAAGACTGCTGCCACTAAATTTGAAATTACTTGATTCACTTGTTGCAGAGTAAAGTTTTTGTGTACTTCATGAGATCTAAGGTTTTCCACAGGAGTTGTATGATAGGAGAGTAGGAGAGCCATAGGTTACTTGTCATTCTTTCTAATTTTTATATGGTACACCCCCCAAAAAATCAATGGTGCAGCAATTAGAATTGTAATTTTTGAGCTCATTGTTCAATTGATACTGATTTTGAGCATTTATTTACTAGGAAAATTTTGTAATTTAGATGCCCTTGAAGTGTAACTGATGATGTGGCACATTTCCATCCTCTGTTTGCAAGACTTAAAATTATTTGTTGCAAATTATGAGATCTCTTTCTCAAAGAGTTTTCCATCAGATTTGGAGCTTCATGTATCTGGAATATTGTTTCTTGTGAACAAGTAGATATTTTGATGCACGATGGCACAAGCCTTGGTTTTTTGTTATCCGTGGCCCACCCAGCATCGAAGCAGGTTTATTGCCAGGCTATCCTAGAAATATGTATGGGTAAGCTTTTAATTCATTAATCCTTCTATTTAGTAGGGTGACAAAAATGGTAAGATACTTTCACTTGATTGGTCTCCACCATTTGTTTGTGTTGAACTGTGAGATAAACTTAATTTTTTATGTCTGGAAGTTATACTGTTTCCGGGTCTTGGGCACTCTTACTCTGCTTCTATGGGAAGCTATTTCAAAACATGTATAGGGTATTGGACAACCTGAAAGATTATGCTATACAAGCCCTTATCAATGCTGTTGACCACCTTGGCACTTTTAAGCTTTCAATTCATTAATCCTCGTATTTAGGGTGGTGAAAAAATGGTACGACAATATTGCTTGATATATCTCCACCATTTGTATGTGTTGGAATGTGATACAAACTTTAGTCTACTGCTTCGTTTTTTTTGTATGTACATTTTGTAACGTTTATGGGTCTTGTGCACTCTTACCATTCTTGTACTGTAATTTGATTTGAAAATGTGTATAGGGTGCTAGACAACCTGAAAGGTTATGCTGTACGGGCGCTTGTCAATGCTGTTGACCACATTGGCACCGTTGCCTACAAATTAACTGACCTTCTTGAGCAACAAGCCTCGGATGTTTCATCCGTGGAGCTGAGGGTTACATGTTTAAATCAGGTAAGGTTTCTGCAGTTGTCTAATTGAAGTTTTTTCTTAGAAGAATAACTAGAGAAGCGGAATTTATTTTTGTCCTTTTGTCCTATTTTTAAGCAACTTCTAACATGCCAAACCTATACGGATAAAGAAGGTCTCAGGCAGCAACAGTTATTACCAATCATCCCAAAGCATCACAAGCATTACATCTTGCCAAGTAAGACTAATTACTGCTATGTTCTTCTATATGTGGTGATCGGAATTCTTTTCTTATTTTCCATTTGCTTAACTGGTTTGACTTGCAAGCAGATTCAGTAAACAAGAAGGTGCATTTTAGCCCACAAAGACAGACGGATGCCAGACAAAGTCATATTCAAGCAAGATCTCGTCTTTATCCTTCAGGTAGTTGATTTATCGCTGACAGATGCTTATGTCATGTCATTACTCACATTTGTGTAAGAATTTTTTGTCTAGTGAGGAATCACTGCATATTGTATCACTTATGTCATGCATTGAATTTAGGTACCCCAGCATCAAGCACTCTGTCTTGGCATTTAGCATCAGAAACCAAGTCTACCTTGAAAGGGACTTCACGTGTGTTGATGAGGTTAGTCCGTGAAATTCAGCAAATGGAGATGACAATGCTAAGTCTACATTTCTATTTTTGATGAATGGAACTGCCACTGATATTCCAATAGAGCTATGTTATTTATGTCTCCTTATTTGTGCAGCACTGAAGACTCGAAAACTTCTGGGGTGTTCAATTCGTTTGGTATGCATAGTTGTTGGTTACTATTGTGCTGCTGCTGGATTATCTTCTCCATTGAGCAAAAATATTAGTGTTTCTGTTTCTAATTTGTATACTTGCATATGATGAAGACGGGACAAGGGCGAAATCCTCACCAGCTCACCGTCAGTTGTCCAATCTGGGGCCTGCTTCAATTGCAGCTATGCAAACATTAGGTGCCATACAGGAGGTAATGTCAAAATCAACAAGAACTCAAACATGCCTATTCCAGCTGGTGTACTTACCTGTAGTAATTTTCTACCAGTGAAAACACTAGGTAGCTTTTTGTCGCAGATTTTACTGCTCTCCTCTCCCATTAGTTCGGAAGTATATTTATTTGTTTCTTGTTTTGTAAATTTGCTTGTTCTCTTATACTTGTCTTGTTGGATGAGAAAAAGATGTTAAAAGTGTTTCTTTTGTAGGATTCTCAGGAGGGCTCCAAGTCTTTGACAGCATTCCGATCATTTGATAACCCACGCCGACGTGAGATTGTCCACGCCCCAGTTCGCAGCAAGAGTGTGCTTTCTGCTTTCTTTGTTAAACAGAAGACACCGAAATTGAAGGCCACATCTGTCTTGTGAATCCTGAATCCACAAATTGAAGATTGCAACCAGCTAACCTCTCGATTCTGTTGGGATTTTTTGGGGTGGGGTGGGGTGGGGATTTTGATAAACTCTATTGCATTTTCTCTCATTTCACGGTAGAACACATACTATAGAAGACGCTCCATTGACACATTATCTACGGGTGAGGAGTTCATTTATAAATACTGGGTCTTATTTAAATTTATTATAGGCGATTTACCACTGACTTAAACCGAGGGAAAGTGTAATAGAGATTAGGGAGTGTGTGGGGGAAGAAATTCACCTGGTCATCTCTTACACATGTTGATGATGTGGGCTTTTTTCCCTGGTCACTCATTGTAAATCACCCTTTATTGTTTGAACGTTTTGCTTGGTGGCTAATAACAACCAAAATTTGTTTAATGATGAAGAATTTTACATAGTTTAGTATCATTAGGCCTGTTTGGAGCTAGCTGAAAATCTTAGGGCATGTTTGGTTTGTATTTTAAAAAATAGTATTCAAAAGCAGTTTTTGAAAAGAGTCTTAAGTAAGTAGTTTTGATATCTTTTGAGATAAAAATTTGTTTGGTTAGATGATTTCAAAAATAATTTTACAATACAGAAAATAGTAAAATCTGTTTGAACAGTCTAAATATATATTTGAATAGTAATTTAAACATTAATAAAAAAATATAAAAAAGTTATTTTTATATTGACAATTATATATATATATATATACTCATATCTGAACATCTAAAATTGTTCTCCTTGTTTCTAAAATTTTTAAAGAAAATTCTAAAAATATGTTACACTTGTTTTCTGTTTATTTGATTCAAATCTCATTTTTTTTTAAAATTTAGAGAACAAAAATGTTAAACAAACAAGTTTTAGGTGTTTTTGAAATTTTGACAACAAAAAACAGTTTTCGAATACTAAACCAAACATGACCTTAGTTTTTTTTTTTTGGTTTATGAGAAAAAGAAACTTGATCCGTTTGGAGCTGGGCTTATTGAGAAGTTTTTTCATTAGTTTTTTTGGGCAAAAATAGCTTCTATCAGTATTAAAGAAAAGTTTAAAAAAAAAGAGTTTATTCAAGAGCTTTAAAGGAAAAGTTAATTTTTCAGAAACACTTTAACCGGTCCAAGAATTTTTTTAACTTTGATATTTTTATTTCACTTTTTAAACTTCTGTTTCGCACCTAAAAAAGTCAGTCCTAAACGGTCATTTATTCTAATTGCAACTCTTACATTTCATCATCAACAAATTCGATTGTCTTTTCTTGGGTCAAAATCATTTGTTTTTTCAATAGAATTCCTTCTCAGTTTTATCATTGTCGGGGCTGCAAGAGTGTTGGTGAGTGCCAACATGCTTCAAAATGGGTTCATCTCCCCTCCAATTTCATAAGAATTGAAAGATCTTTCAAATTTTTTGAATGATTATGAAATATACAAATAAAGTAGATCCAATTAATTCAAAAAATATCTTGAATTTTCGAAATACCAGATTAACTAACTCAGTTGATGTGTACAAAACTTAATCATTTAAAAGAGTGGGCTATACGGCTAATGGATCAGCCCTTAGGCCAATGGGGCCACATCCCAGTTGTAAGTGTGGGCTAAAGTCCAATCTCAGCTCAAGACTCCAGGAAAAAGCTCATTCACAATTTCCCACCTAGATTGGGCTCGATCCAAATCACCGCCTCGCCACCCGTCGTCACCGACATAACAGAAATTTCATTCGTGCACAGCTCAACGGATCTGATCTTCGATCTCTTCTTCAACTTTGTGGAAACCCTAAAATTGTCGCAGATCATATATCAAAGCTCACTTATACATGTATATAGCTCTATTTGATTTGATATTTCATCTGAATTAGAATTTAGAAGTACTAATTTTCAAGAACAATGTCAGCATTTCTACATCAAAGGCCACTTCACAATGTTCAAACGGATTCATACTCCATCATCCCTCGATCTCCGAATGATTACCAAAAACCGTCCACGATTATCAACCGAACCACTCTCTTACTCCTCTTGATCCTTCTAGTACTACTTGGAGTTCTCTTCCCATGGATTTCTATACCCAAAGGTCTCTTCAGTACCAATTCAAAACTCTCAGTATCGAAATGGAAGGACTACACGTTGGCTGAGGCGGTGGCGAGTGTGGCGAAGAATGGGACTGTGATTGTTTGTGCTGTGAGTCAGCCTTACTTGCCTTTTTTGAACAATTGGTTGATTAGTATAGTTAGGCAAAAGCATCAGGAGAAGGTGCTTGTGATCGCGGAGGATTATGCAACTCTGTATATGGTTAATGAGAAATGGCCTGGCCATGCTGTGCTCGTGCCGCCTGCGCCAGATTCTCAGACTGCTCATAAGTTTGGGTCTCAGGTAATATTGTATTTGAGTACTTTAACATGTGGGTTTTGCTTATTTTGTGCAGAATTTGAATGTAGCCTACTTGAATTATAGTATACGAGTTGCTGTGATGTGTGCTTGCCTTGTTATTCCATTGGTTGTTGCTATTTGTTGCAATCTTGAATATGAATGCTTGTTTGCTAAAATGGGATAGTGTGAATCTCTACTACTTTTGCTCAAACCCCTCTTGATGGGCATTTCTATTGTTGAGTTCCTCTTGCGAAACTCATGAAGATCCAAACTTGACAATCACAATATCATTTCATTAAGCATTTCTTCTCCGAACTCAATGAGTTCATACTGTAAATTGGTGATGTCCAATATTTTGCTAGCATTGGCACCAATGAGGAAATTAGGATGCAATGTTTTATTAGATTTTATTGCTTTTCATCTTATTCAGGTTATGTCTTTAGAAAACTGTGCTGATGTCATGCTGTCAGCACAATATTACCGATGTCTACCTGGGCAAGTTTGCATTTCCTCATAATGATAAAATTTCTATTTTAAGGTTGTTACTCTCCAAGAACTGACTGCACCTGCTACCTTTGCTTGCATCATTATATTTCTTCTTATGCATAGCCACAGGCAATAGCACAAGAATGCTTTTCCTTTCTGCTACTGTCACTTTCCAAACAAGCCAGCACATAAACTGAAGCTCCATCTAACATTGATGATTGATCCTTCACTTTTTCTTGCCTACTTGTATATGTTCTATTTGTTTTGTGTGATTATCTCTGTTGTTTTGTTGGAAATAACCTCGTAAAATTTTAGGGATTCTTCAATTTTACGTCTCGAAGGCCACGCCATCTACTACAAATTCTGGAGCTTGGCTACAATGTCATGTACAATGATGTTGATATGGTCTGGTTAGCAGATCCATTTCCTTCTTTGCAAGGGGAGCATGATGTGTACTTCACAGATGACATGACTGCGGTATGTATCTTGACATCACTTCTAATTTTAATTTTACTAGGGTTAAATTTATGCCATTTGGAGTCAAATAGAACAGCAGTAGTATATATGCTGGACACTCAGTTGCATTATAGTTTTATTTGACAATAACTCAAGCTTGGTCTTGGTGACAAAATTCTTCATATGCGGTGGATTATCCAAATGATGGACTTAGATCAAATTAGATTGGTTGGGGTTGATGCTGTCAGTATATTCATTTGTTTGCTAGTGCACTATCAGTCTGGAATATGGCAACAAACTTACATTATCAGATGAAGTTTTTTGGCAATGAATCCTGCTCACATGTAATGATTTTGTTGATTTAAACACAAGGATGGCACTGCTCTCTTCCCTTGCAGGCTTATAATTCCTTCTTTTAGCGTGCATTCTTGACTATTAAATGATGAAAGCATTGCTCTCTTCTTGTATCCTTTGGGACAACCAGGTGAAACCTCTGAATCACTCTCACGATTTGCCACCTCCAGGAAAAAAAGGGCGCACTTACATTTGCAGCTGTATGATTTATCTGCGGCCAACTACTGGAGCAAAACTAGTTATGAAGAAGTGGATTGAAGAACTTCAGGCTCAGCCATGGTCCAAAGCAAAGAAATCAAATGACCAGCCAGCCTTCAACTGGGCATTAAACAAAACTGCAGGACAGGTATATTCTATCTTGTTCTTGTTTCTGCTGCTTGTTCTTGCTGGAGGCTCTTTTCTGTTAAAATCACCCTCTTAGAAAGCCAGTTAGGGTTATGACTGTTTAAGGGTAACCATGAGTCACCTACTAAACTCAAAATGTTGGCTTACAATCAATGTATAACTCCGACAGAGGTAGGCCTAATTCTCTTGAGTGAATGCATGTTATACAGCTTTCACTACAAAAGTGAGTATTGTAAGATGGGTTAGGTCAATCCTAGTGTCGTTTCCCACTTTTGGTCCAGCCTGTGGACCAATAGTATAGATATTCCTTGTTGCTTTTCTTATGAGGGAAGTTTCCAACCCTGTGTGACTGAAGAATTCCTCATTTGTAGGAAATGTAGAAACTCAAGTTTTTAGACCAACCTTATGGAAAAATGAGAAATGTTTTCTCTTTCGTTGAAGCTTCCAAGCCCTTAAATCCTGTTGATATTTGAAAGGTGTATTTCTTTTGAATTGAGACACTGTACAGTCTTTAGTTCAGATGGTACAATTAGTACCAATATTTTTGTATGACTTATCTTGATCACAAAACCATGTTAGTGCTCTTACTGTACTACAACTGTTAAAACAACTTCGTTATGTTGTTTGTTGTATCTGCCAAAGGCCTCTGCCTACTCAATTAATCGTGTCTTCCTAACATAGAGTTGATTGGCAAACCTCACCACCCCTCTCTTCTCTTCTTTACCGACTTCATAAGTGTTTGTCTCTGGACGTTGCACTGCATCTGGTATCCTACTAGTGAGTTACTGTAGCCTTATCTGTATCCTCCTAATACATTTTGTGATAGTCACTTTGCGCCATTTGCCAGACCTGTATTTTAGAGAAAACTTCATATTTTTCTGCAAACCCATTTCCAAAATATCCTAGTAGAAGGGATTAACTGAAAGTCTGAGAATTTGGAACAGAGAAGTTGTTCTTTATGATTGTGCAAAATGTTTGGGATTTTTGTGAACAGTCGAAACACTCATGGTAAAGTAAAGCTTCTGTTGGTTGCACTTAACACATTGAAGAAATTAACTCATGTATGTAAGAAACTGCTGCAGGTGGATCTGTATTTGCTCCCGCAGGCAGCATTCCCAACAGGTGGATTATACTTCAAGAACCAGACATGGGTGCAGGAAACTAAGGGAATGCATGTCATCATTCACAATAATTACATTACTGGTTTTGAGAAGAAGATAAAGCGATTCCATGATTTTGGCCTATGGTTGGTGGATGATCATGCCTTGGAGTCCCCACTTGGTAGATTAAAATGAGTTTGGAGCAATTTGGCTTGTGAATAATGGATAAGTTGAGGGACCTCATGATTCTTTGGTGGAACCAACAGAATAATTGTTGAACCACTAGTGCAAGTCCCACTGCCAATCTTCCCCTTTTGGTGCTCGAAGGCTCTGCAATCATATTTCGAGTATACTAGTCCATTGACAGCTATTTCCTGAATCGACTGTTTGCAAACAATGGACAACGCATCGCGAAAAATTGTTTGTATATTGCGTTCATTTTGGCACTTTCTTACTGACGCAGCTTTATTGAATTTCTTTAAGGATGATAGTATTAATTATCTTTTCCATTTCTAATGAAGCGTTATTTATTTTCTTTGAAGCCGTGAACCCAGCCAGGCGAGTTTTGATCTGCAGACCCTGCTCGTTCTTTACTGAGATTAGGTGAATTCTAGAAAATAAACTGTGTTTGATGTTGTTGCTGCAGTAAAATGTTACTGCTTGGTTCTACTAACCTCCAGACGTTGCTCCAAAGTCTACTTTGGAATCAAGATCCAATGCACTTTTTATTGATGCATGTTTGTTTGTCAAAAAAGAAAAGCATCTGCCGAAAGCATCAACGGTTTTCCAAAAATGGGACATGGAAATCAATGAATATTTCTAGATAGAACTGTCAAAATAAAACATTTTTTTTAAATTACCCGAATTGGGGACTCGTTAGCAAACAAATCAAGCATTATTATTCTCTGTTTTTTTTTTTTTACCTTAGGCTCAAAAATGCGTTTGCCGGGAGTCGAACCCGGGTCTATTGCTTGGAAGGCAATTATCCTGACCGTTGGACTACAAACGCTGGGTTGTGTTAGTTGACAGAAATCAAAATATTATTCAAATGTTTTGCGGCGAGACAGCAAACAATTGTCGGTGGACAGTTAGTAGTAAAGCCATTAATATTAGACCAAAATTCATGGTAATAGTAAATATCACATCACCTATCATATCTTAAGTTTTTACAAAGTAATTAAATTACCAATTATATTGGATATGATGATATTATAGTTTGATATATAAATATTCTCTTGTTCCCATGGGGATCCAATCTTGGTTTAAAAAAGATCAGATATAATTTTACAATTTTACTATACCATATATATAAGAGATTTTTTTTTTTAAATTCATACTCGTTACATTTGAACTATACGATAATAACTATATCATTTACTTTAAATCATATTAGAATAATCATATCTTATTAACAGAGGTAACTATTTTTATACTCATGTAAAATTTATTATTTGATGATAATTAACATTTAGATATTCTTTTTTGCTTTTCTTTTATTTTCTCCTAAATAATGCTGCCATCTTTTTTTTTTTTTTGAGAAACGACATCTTAATTAATACTCACTCACACATTGTATTACAAAAAAAAAAAAACAAACTATTTTTTCAAGCAAGATTTTAAACATCTATTTAATATTACAGTTAAGAAATTATTTTTTAACTTATAAAAGCACAATAACAATCAAAATTGATTAAATTTTCATATGTTTTTGATCTAATGGTAAAAAATTAATTTAAAATTTATTTCTCTACTCAAAAATATAATTATTTTTAAACAACATCCAATAGTAAATAACCTAATTAGTTCACATATATCCCTCTCTCCTCCTTATTTATATTTACTTTAATTTTAAATTAAATAATTAAATAAAAAAATAAATTGTTATTTAAATAATTAAATATTATATAATAAAGTATTAAAGGTAATTCGTACTTCATGAGAAGATGTAATATAAATGATTTTGAAAGAAATATTAGTGATCATTAGATAATTCTATTTAAAACCGTTGGATGGACTTATTTATATTATAAAATTTTAATTTAAACACAAAAATATTATTAATAATCAATAATCTATGTCACTCCGAGGGCAATTTAGTCACATTAACACTGCGTAAAGATCCTCAACCTTACAGACAAACCCTTCGAGTCGGTTCCCACTGATATATATTTTAGATTCTCTATCATAATCACCATATATTTAGATTCTCATAATAATCACCATATATATAGCAAATACCTTACCTTCCGGAAAAGATATCACAAAGCAAAACCAATGAAATCCCTACGAAAACGCGTCTCAAAGGCCAAACTTTTCGTGTAAATATTGATTTAATAACTTCACCCGTTGACGACCAAACCCACGTCATAGACTCAATCTCGGTCATATTCACCGCCCCTTACACCTCTCTCTCTCCATGCGGTGTAGCTGATTCTTTCACTCTAAAGAAAAACCCACAACCGTCTTGCTGAATTCTTTAATGGTAGAAGACAAACAGTCTTCTGCCAACTCCACTTGGATCATGATTACACTCTTGTGTAACCCATACTAGAAACCCATTTCTTAAAACAGCAAGAAAAAGTACTCTATTTGTTTATCTTTTCTCAATCTAGATTTCTCTCTCCATGCTACTCATACTATATGGGTATATAAAAATTGTGTATATGTTTTTGAGTATATTGATGGGACTGTAGATGGGTTCTCTTGAAAGTGGTATTTCCTCTAAGAAAGATTCATATTTGCTTCGTTCTTCATCGGCAACAAGCAGGAATGAGAGATATTTGTTTGGTCAAAGACCGAGATCGAGATTTGCAAGATTCGTGTTGTTCAAGAAAATTGATTATCTACAATGGATTTGTACAGTGGCTGTGTTCTTATTCTTTGTAGTTCTTTTTCAAATGTTTTTGCCTGGTTCAGTGATGGAAAAATCTGGGAATTCCCTGAAGGAAAGTCAGATAATTTCTGGGGATTTGACCCTTCTGAGAGAGATTGGTGGGTTGGATTATGGGGATAATATAAAGTTTGAGCCCTCTAAGCTTTTGGCTAAATTTCAAAAAGAGGTCAATGGGTCATCTGCTTCAAGGAGAGGAGTGAGATTTGGGTATAGAAAACCCAAGCTTGCTTTGGTGAGCAATTAGTATTCCCTACCAATTTTGTACTGTTTATGTATGTTTATTCTTATCGCAATTTGTTTCGTGTTGACGTCTTGATTTTGCCAGTTTGTACTCTGTGGAGATTAATGTTTACACGGTTTATTTGTTGGGGTTGCATAATTGCATTGGTTTAGTGTTTTATTTATTCTAAGTGGATAGCTTGTGGAGTTATAATCGTTTAGGGGTTTTTGTTATATGCTTTTTTGGGTAAGTTTTTTGTTTCATGTTACTATTTCTATTGGTTTGATTTCATCTTAGAGGTTGATATTTATTACTTTTTACTGTTATTATTTGATATGTCTGTTTGATGGGTGTAATTGTTGATGGACTTGTGTAATGTTTGGTATTCTCCTAATCCTTGGTAAGTAGCTTGTTGGGGGACGTATTGTTACTTAGGTTTTGTTGTATGTTTGCAGTTACATTATTTTGATGTCTTCCTGTAGGTTTTTCCAGATATGTTGGTTGATCCACAGCAGATACTAATGGTTACGGTTGCAGCTGCTTTGCAAGGCATCGGATATGAAATTGAGGTAATGTAATTGGTCAGTGAATGCTGTCAATTTTCATCATCCTAGTGGCCTTATGGCCATTGACCTTTCATCTTATGGATTGGGTCTCCGGTGAAATGTGTTTGATTTAAGTAACCTGCAGTGTCATTTAATTTATCAGCATTTTTGTTGTTTTTAAAAATAACAAAGTTAAAGGATGAAGATTAAGGTAGCTTACTTGGGATCTCATGTCTTTACACATGTTATACATGTTTTCAATAACAAAATGAGTTTACTAAACAACTTGTGCTAAAGGTGTTCTTCAATGGCAATGCATTTTGTTTGTTTATGTTTGGGCATTTATTATTAAGAAACTTATACTCCAAACTCTTACAAGAAGCAGTGTAAAAAGGTCAGTGAAAGATTTTTAGCACTCAGATTAGGAACACCGATCATGTGAGATAAGGGACATTATTGGATGCATGCATCTTCTATTTGCATCTCAGTTGAACTTCGCTATTTGCTTTCGCTGTGCTGCTGTTCCTCCATTTTATTTGAAATTCCTCAGAGCCGTGGCCTCACTGGGCTTTTAGTTCTATTTGTTAGCTCTCATTGTCATTGGAGATACCAAAAGTTATAATGCTTAATTCCTCGACATTGGAAGTCAATAGTTGTGTGGACATTTGGGTTGGAACCATAGCATTGCACTTGATAGAGTTTAGTTGCTCCCTGAAATCACCATAAAATAACGTCTGGACTATTTCATGATACCACCTTTTCTTGAAGCCTCATTTTCAGATTAAGCTATACAATAGACCTCACTTTTGATCCGTGGCGGACCTGGGGAAGAGTACTAATCTTTTGGAGCACCCTCATCCAATCATCTCTCTCTCTCTCTCTCTCCCCCATGCATGTCTGCAAATGTGTCTTTATTTGCAGTGAGCATACGTCAGGGAATGAGAGATTGGTGTACTGTGTGCATATTCGTTGATTCAAATCATTTGATTTACTCACTCTGTCCGGTTGTGTGATTTCGTGCCTGTCCTTGGTTGGTTGTCATCAAAGACGAGTATCATCTGAAGAGGTTTAGTTGTTTGGTGGCTATATAATGCACATAGCTTTTCTTTGTCAAGCATTTAAATTGGTGGATTTGACTTTGTTAAGTAACACTGCATCAGATAAATGTATTAGTGTAACTATCACTTGTTTTTTCCTCCTGTCTGCAGGTCTACTCACTTGAAGATGGTCCTGTGCGCACTGTTTGGAAAAATCTCAAACTTACAGTCAATATCATTGAAACGATTGAGAATAGGACGATGACTGTAGACTGGCTAAAGTATGTTTGGATGTTCAATTGGCCATATATCATGTATCTCCAATTATGATTAATAATTCAACTGGTGGAATGTTAACTGGTTGAAGACCATCCTGTTGCTGCTTGAGCAAACAACAATCATTTCATTTTGTTTCTTTGCATTGGCTATCCTCATGGTCCTTAAATCAATCACTTGCTGTTTTTGTTTTGCTTCATTATGACTGGGGCCATCAGTAAATGCTGTATGGTGGTCCGAATAGAAACCATACTCTTTACCAAAATATTTTAGCGCTATTGGGACTTTTCTTATTTTGAATCCTTTCCAAGCAATCATATTTAATTGTATAAAATGTTCCACAGATATTAAACCTCTACACTTTCAGATATGTCCCTAGTGTGTGTCTGGGTGTGTGTGTGTGTAATGTGGTTTTTCTTGCTCAAATATTAGCAATTCAGCAAAACTATGAATTGAGGTATTTTCCCTTATAACTCTATATCCCTTTTTGTAGCTATGATGGCGTAATTGTGAACTCTTTTGAAGCCATGGGAGTCTTATCTTGGTAAGTCTTACCTGTTTATCTTTCAATCAGATGCATTTACTTACAGAAATCAATATTTGTGTTGTCTTCTCCTCTGTGAGTCTCTTCTCTGCAGAGTATACATTTCCAGCTGTCTGAACCCAGAAAACTATTTTCCTATATCTCAGTTTATAGTTGATAAATTTGTTGGTGAATCAGATTTATATCAAGTTTCATACATTAAGTCAAAGTTGTTTTGAAGATGTGAATCCTGCTGAAAGTTCATAGCTAATAACATTGTTTTAGGATGCTGTTATGAGCTTGTGGTTGAAGGCATATTCTCTAATTATATAAGGTGGCTTTATAAACTTGATTTAGGTTCAGTGATGCTGTCTTGCTCTGGATTATTAAGAGAAAAACCACATTCATGTCTGTACATTACAGGTTTGGTTTTTAGCAAGGCTGTAAATAACACAATTTTGATGATTTTAAACATGAGGAGAGAAGGTCCATGCACTGAAAAAAAACTGAGGAGAACAGAAAACATTGCCTTTGGCTTGTTTGAGTTTTTGCAAGCAAAGATTGTGAAAATGGCTTGCTTGGATATTAGACGAATGGAATGAACAAATTATGAATCCATTTTGTGTTTGATATTTGAAAAACAGGAAGAAGTGGGTTTGATAGAGTGAAAGTTGGTCAATTGAAATGGTTCAGGTTTTGTCTTGGTAAGTAACTTCTTTTCAGCTTTTAGTTGTGCATTTGAAGTATCGAAGTAGCAAGCTGGGGGAGATAATGAATTACACGTGTACAGGAGGGGTAAGTGCATGTTTCTTGTATTGATGGGCTCTTGGTATTAGCCTTTCTCACAAAGAGAATAGTGATTGTGCAGAAATTGCTCTAAGTTTGTCGATTTTGTTTTGAGCGAGGGCAAGTTCTCATGTTGTGCTGTTTCTTGGAGATAATTCATCTCTTTTGGGCAGGATATTCACATA